GAATGGTCCTTTTGGGTTGCCTTCACCAGAACAATCTGATAGGATGGATATTTGAGCAAGAGGTTGTTTCTGATTTATTAATATATTATAAATATAATATATTAATGGGGAAATAATATTATTTAATTAGTATTGATCAAGAATTAATTTGGAATTAATTTAGTGATGAAAAGAGACTAATAAAAGTAACGGGGACTAATTATATAAATTAGTGATACATATGGGCTATTGATCCATGATGGACTAAGTTTATGTGAGAGTCCATGAAGAGTTAGTCCATATGAGTTATGGATCATAAGCCTAAGTGTAAGAACTAGGGTTACATATGACTCTTGGAATTCTACACTTTATATACGTAACCCTTTGGCCCTAAATCGATACATAAGTGATATAACAAGAGTATAGCCAATTTTAGGTTGTTCCTAACCTCTCTCTCTCTCTCTCTCTCTCTCTCTCAAGTACTCTAATTGTTGTTGGTGTTTGTGACTTATTAGAGGCATCACAATTGAGGTGCTAAGCTCTTGAAAGGCAAAATTCAACAAGCTACAACAAGAGGTAATCTTCTAACTAGTTTTTATAATTCATATATCAAGTTGTATGCTAGATAGGCTTCATGCTTTGGAAAAATGAAATTTGCATGTATAACCAGATAAAACATAGATCCACAACATTAGGGTTGTATGTGCACCATAGGGATGTTATAGTGCTCAAAACCCATCAGATATACCGTTTGCAAGGAACGATCCTATAATGAAATACATAAACATAAGCAAAAACAAATATAAATAAAGAGATAAGGAGAAGATACATACCTGTCACAACATCAGGAGCTGCACGTGCCTCCTTTGCTGTCAGCTGGGATGCTCTACTCTTCACCGCAGGTGCCTGTATCTAGCGTTGATGGCTGTCGGTAATCCTCAATGTAGCAGGAGCGGGTGCCGCCATATGTACTGTTGCTGCTAAAATCGGACATTGAGACCTCTTGTGGCCCCTCTGATTGCACTGAAAGAAAATTAGATCAGATATTGTAGTGGTGGTGGTAACAGTACAGTCCCTGCTGACATGACCAGTCCGGCCACACTTAAAGCAGCCCGACTACCCGCCCTGCACGTCCCCTCATGCATCTTGCCGCACTTGCCACAACGGTTACGGCTCTGCTGGCTCCTCGATCTGTGATCCGATAACTTGGTCTTTTTTCCCGAACTCCCTGTCTGAACCCTCTCTGGTTTCATCTTCTTCTCCATCCCCAAATCCAACTCCTTTTCCGGAGCCGTTGCTATCATATCCTCCTGCATCTTGCAGCTGGATCAGCTCACAAACTGGTAGATATCACTCCAGCACATCTCATGGTACCGGGATTTTTCATCTCCTCGTCCTCCATGTACTGCGGAACAAGAAGGGCCCTCTCCCTGAACATGGCGGTGATTTCAATCAATGTCTTAGTAGTCTGCAGGAAATCCTGGAACTCCCTCCCAAGCTGTTGCACCTCGATCACAGGTGCAAACTCGGGCCTGAATCTGGCAGAGAAATCTCTCCAGGTCATAGCATCAAGAGCGGCACCATCTCCAATAGCATGTCCAACCTCCTCCCACTAATCGCACGCCATGTCCTTCAGGAGGCAGGAAGCAACTCAGACCTTGTCCCCCTCAGGATAACGGCTGGTGCGAAAGGCTTACCACTTACTGCTAGCAATGAGGTCCCGAGCCCAATGGTAGTCTGGAGCTTGATCGAGGTCGTTGCCTTGGTCAAAAATAAACCTCACACACACTAGATAGCTAGGGTAAGTAAGGGTCGAATCCACGAGGTGGTTGTGGTCAAACTTTTTGAACAAAGATCAAACAAAAACTTGGAAATTTATTAGTAAAAACGAAACTCTCAATGAGAAAGGCAAGGTACTCCCGGTTCAGTTATGGACAGTTTAGATTCACACACCATCTTCCCTACAATCCTAGTTCAATTACTTAAACGCAATTGGGGTTTATTATCTTGTAACACATAACTTTGGGCACACAATATGTTCATTAAACTAGTTATCTTACTCCCTATGTCTAAATGGATTAGGAACAATTAGTGAATTAGCAATAAAGTGTCTTACAATTACCTATTACCATATTAAGTTTCAATATCATAAGTTGGAATAATATATGTTGATTCAATAACTTGTCTTTATTCTTAAACTACTTGAACTTAGAACAAATGATGAATTAACAATAGACTATCTTAAGTATGACATCAAACACATTCATAAAACCCAATTTCAATTGTCATTACCAAAGATCATCACACGAAGCATAAAACAACAATTGAAATTAACTAGAATCAAGTAATAATCAAGTGTGTTCATCCAAAATTCATAAACATCCCCGGAAGTAACCCTAACGATTTAGTCTTCCATTGATTTCATAAAAAAAATAACTTGGATGAAATAAACAAAATGCATAAGGAAATCCAATAACAAACTTTAAATCATGAAACAATTATAACCTAATGATTATCAAAGCTTGAAACAATAAAACCTTAAGGGATAAGTAAGAAAATTCTGAGGTTGTAGTGGAGATGATGAAGATCCTTGGTTGAACAATCTTCTAATGTTGAATCCTAATGAACTTGATGATTTCTTGTCTTGAATCCGGATTGGAGTGATAAAAACGTGTTTGGAGAAGGTTTGAATGTGTTTGGAACCCTCCAAAACTGGGTGAAATCGCAGTGGAGAAGTCCTAAGTCGATTAGGGTTTAATCTCCCTTAAATAGGTGCTAAAAAACTGATTTTCGGAGCTGTTTTCCACGTCGGCGTCCTAGTAGGCATCTTAGACGTCAGGTAGGAGGTCTGAGCATCCTTCAAGGCGTTTTACATGCCTTCTGCTGTCCTTGATTTGCACTTGAAAATGGCCTAAAAGGGGTGGGCATCCTAGGGGGCGTCTTAGAGGCTTTTTAGGACGTCCCTCATCTTTGTCGCTCCTTTTTGGTGATGAAAATAGTATAATCAGTAAAAACGCAAAACATGAAAGTTGTAGGAAATTTTGTATAGTTTCCAGAACATCTACATTCATGTCAATAGGAGCTCTATATCTTGAGATATGATGAAAACATTGAAGAGTATTCAAATTTCTCACCACCATTTTTCTTCATTCCTTTAGCAATTCGTCTCCCACGCTTGTTAACTTCAGTTTGCTCTTTTTCTTGCGGTTTCCGCCCACTTTAGAACTAAGTACTTACATGCATATAACGTTCAACAACTCATCAAAGTATGTTCATCAATTCAACATATTTAGTACAATTTAGTATATTCATAAAATAGACTTATCAAACCACCCCAACTTTATTCCAAACTCGTCCCGAGATTGGCCTGAAATAATCAGCGTTGGCTTACTCTCTCATCCTAAGAAAAACTCAATGGAATCACAAATTCTGTACATTTTATCATAATACTTTCAATAAGCACAATATATTGATTTCGGTGATCATTAGTTGCTTATCCGGTCTTTTAAACTCAAAATACATGTTATGCTTATTTTACTTTGTTGTTTGAAACCTTTCACTTTTTGAACCCTTTCCAATAATCAACCTCATGAGTAATCAGTTGAACTCATTGCCAAAGTCTCGTTTTTAAGGTTCACTAACATAGTTAGTGCGGTCGGTAACACTTAATGGACCAACCCATACACTCCCGCTATCGAGGGGTCACATATTGTTTCAAAAAATGTCTTCAACTTGAACTTTTCTTCATATTTATATTGATTGTGCATTCTTCATGTTTTTTGATGCTTCATCGGATTTGATCATCTTTGTATTTTTTTGAGCTTGAATATATATACTTTGAATTTCTTAAATGTCTTATGATGCGTTTTTTTGTGTGTGAAAACAATAATAGTCCCCTCCCAACCCCAAAGGTGCAGGAGTAAGTAAGACCAAGTACTCCGAGCACAATGACACATATTGTTCGGTTGGGTCCTCAATTGAAAGATCGTAGGCTCGAGCCAAAAACCTTCATTTTTCAAACACTTGGGGTATTTCACATAACAAATTTTTTAAATAAATATAAGTATTCCCAAACCGGCTGAGCAACCCACAAAATCAATATTAAATAGATATTATGACTCGATGTATGAAACTCCTATCATTTTCCATCTTGCTGATTTACATTCAAGATATAGATTTGCTACTAACTCGTCACATATTTCATAGAACCAACTTCAAGATAAGATAATTAAAGATAGAGTTTAAGATAGCAGTACATTCATCCTTAGTTGATTATCCAAAAAAAAAATTCATCAAAGTTAATGTAAAAGAAATTAAAAACATGGAGGACGACACAACTGATGGTACTGATGGTAGAGGCGGTTTTGATTTCCAAAAAAAAAACTTCACTAGTTGGAGGTATTTGCATAATGTTTCGTTATGCCCAAAAAAACATCAAATAATTATGATTTTTTTAAATCACTTTTTCTTCAATCCTCCAACTTTTTCTTGTGTACACCCCTTCCCAACTTTATGTCTTGCATCGTCCTCGATGCATCAAAAGATAAATTCCTAAAATAAAAAAAAAAACCAACTACAAACACACAAATCAAATCAAATAAAAATAAACTACACTAACTAGCCCTCAATTTCGTCGGGGTCCACGATTTCAATTGGCAAGTGCAACAAGCCTTTTATACCCCTAGTGGACGAGTGAAGTCTCGTGAGGGTTTGTAGTGAACTTACCCACAAAGTTCCAAAATTGCCAAGTTTAATGTCATTAGCGGGACAGGTTACCTCGAGTGATGTCTATGGAGGCTCATATATTTGTGGACTTTTTTGAAAGTCAACCATGAGGTTGCTTACCTTACTTTGAGGAACCTAATCATGGGGAAAGCCTTTTTTTTGGCCTTGTGAAAATCAACTATTTTGCGTTTAATCCTTCCACAATGATGCTTAAACCTTGTTTTGAAGAGCCATGCATCTTTCCATCTAGTAAACTTCTTTAATCGATACTTCATATCATGTAACACTTCCATTTTTTATTTTTGAGAGTGTGTGTTATCATGTTTCTTATTCCCTAATCTTCTTTTCTTGTGTTGACTCATGCAATCATCTAGTGCTTTTGACCTATTACATGATAAATTTTTCTCCAAATTGTGGGTGGTTCCATAGAGCATATTTGCGGTATGCTCATAAACATAATCATCGATAGTATTGATCACAAATAGTTCACCACTGATTGGAGGATCATTAGTAGGTCCAAGAAAAATAAAGATTACTTTATGGTTTCCATATGTCACATTTATCGCACCTTCTCGACAACTTATATGGGAAAATATAGTTGCTAAGAGGGGATGATCAATGATGACATTTAGTTGTTTGTATGTGTTTAGTCTTTTAGAATCCATCATATCAAGAAGTTGCGGTTCAGGTTTTTTAAAAGTTGTTGGGTAAGAGGTGATACCAACCTCCACGAACCCTTCCCCAACTTTGGATGCTTCTAAAAGATGAAACTCTTCATTATAATTTTCCAATTCAATTATAGCTTCTTTTCTTTCTATCATACTCTCATTCTCCTGGTCATCTAAAGATACATAATCCTCTACCACAAGCTCTAGTTTGGGTGGTGTAGGATTATGCACAACGTTGTCATTGCATAGAAAACATACCTCATTTACTTGGGTAATGTCCAAAGTTTTGCCCGGTGGTTGTTGCTTTAGTTTCTCCGTTATTCGTTCTAGTTGATCTTCAATTGCCGAAATTGATTTGGAGTTGTCTTCCTCCTTGTTGAAGGTTTCATTCAACATGTCCAACATTTGATCCAACCTCTTGCTAAATGAATATTTTTATGATTCTTCGTCGTCCGGGAAATAATATGGTTCATGGTGTTGGTTTTGAGTCGATTTGTCAGTCCAATAACAATCATCATCATATGGATCATTGTATGGATAATCATTATATGACTGATCGTATGGATCATTATTGTATTGATCTTGACCCGGATTTCCACTCCCCACCACATATCTTGGTTAATATAAATGTATTCCTCCATTCATGACAGTCCCTACACAAAAATAGTAAAATAGTGAAGATTCTAAACTAAAAATAAAACAAAATAAAATAAAACTTAAAGTCTACTTCAACATAATAGTTTAAGCACACAATCTCCCTGGAAAAGGCGCCAAATTTTGATCGAGGTCATTGTCGCGGTCAAAAATAAACCTCACACACACTAGATAGCTAGGGTAAGTAAGGGTCGAATCCAGGAGGAGGTTGTGGTCAAACTTTGTGTTAAAATAGTTAACGAAAAACTAATACTAGCAATTGTCACGAAAATGATTTAAACAAAGATCAAACAAAAACTTGGAAATTTATTAATAAAAACAAAACTCTCAATGAGAAAGGCAAGGTACTCTCGGTTTAGTTATGGATAGTTTAGATTCACATACTTTCTTCCCTACAATCCTAGTTCAATTACTTAAATTCAATTGGGTTTTATTATCTTGTAACACATAACTTTGGGCACACAATATGTTCATTAAACTAGTTATCTTACTCCCTATGTCTAAATGGATTAGGAACAATTAGTGAATTAGCAATAAAGTGTCTTACAGTTACCTATTACAATATTAAGTTTCAATATCATAAGTTGGAATAATATATGTTGATTCAATCACTTGTCTTTATTCATAAACTACTTGAACTTAGAACAAATGATGAATTAACAATAGACTATCTTAAGTATGACATCAAACAAATTCATAAAACCCAATTTCAATTGTCATTACCAAAGATCATCACACGAAGCATAAAACAACAATTGAAATTAACTAGAATCAAGTAATAATCAAGTGTGCTCATCCAAAAGTCATAAACATCCCCGGAAGTAACCCTAACGATTTAGTCTTCCATTGATTTCATAAAACAAATAAGTTGGATGAAATAAATAAAATGCATAATGAAATTCATGAACAAACTTTAAATCATGAAACAATTATAACCTAATGATTATCACAGCTTGAAACAATAAAACCTTAAGGGATAAGTAAGGATATTCTGAAGTTGTAGTGGAGATGATGAAGATCCTTGGTTGAACAATCTTCTAATGTTGAATCCTGATGAACTTGATGATTTCTTGTCTTGAATCCGGATTGGAGTGATAAAAAACGTGTTTGGAGAAGGTTTGAATGTGTTTGGAACCCTCCAAAACTGGGCAAAATTGCAGTGGAGAAGTCCTAAGTCGATTAGGGTTTAATCTCCCTTAAATAGGTGCTAAAAGACTAATTTTCGGAGCTGTTTTCCGTGTCGGCGTCCTAGTAGGCGTCTTAGACGTCAGGTAGGATGTTTTACATTCCTTCTGCCGTCCTTGATTTGCACTTGAAAATTAGGCCTGACAATCGTGTCGTGTTCGGGTTGGCGTGTCACAGGTTGGCAGGTTGGCCGATCAAAATATGTCAACCCAAACACGACCCATTTAAATATACAGGTCACAGGTTGGCGGTTTTGTTACATCAACCCATATATGACCCGCGAACCCATTTATTTATACGGGTTCACAGGTTGGCGGGTTCGTGGGTTAGATTTGGGTTCGTTGGTCAGATTCCATAAATAAAATTAACAATTAAACATGAATAAATTCTTGATAGTTGATGCAAACGTATCTGAATTTTAGACACTTAACTACTTAAGTCTTAAAGTCTTAAACATTAAAATGAAAATTAAAAACACTCATAGAAACATGTTCAAACTAAACATTAATACAAATATAGATAATTCAAGTGCTAAAGTAATAGCTAAAATTTCCATTTTTTTTCTCCCAAAAAACAAAGTTAATTCTCCAACATCATTTTCTTCTTTATGATAAACTTCAACCTTCAAGTAGAAACAATAGCCAAAGTTAAGCACATACAAGTAAAATTATAAAAATGTATAGTTGTCATACAGTCATTGGGCTATGGCCGATATGTGATTTGAGTTAGGGCAAAAATCGGGAAAATCAAATGGTTACAGAATACAGACTTACGGGTTATACAGACTTACGGGTTAGTGAGTTAAGACCTTAGGAGTCACATTTAAAAAAATATATATTTTTTTAATTAAAAATATAAACGGGTTGACAGGTTAACCTGTTTATTTTTTGAGAAACCCATATATGAATCGTTTAATAAATGTGTTGGCGAGTTGGCAGGTTAGCGGGTTGGCGAGGTGAAAAACTCAACCCAAACCCGTTTATTTCGTGTCGTGTCACGGGTCGTGTTGAGAATTGTCAGCCCTAATGTTGAATCCTGATGAACTTGATGATTTCTCGTCTTGAATCCGGATTGGAGTGATAAAAAACGTGTTTGGAGAAGGTTTGAATGTGTTTGGAACCCTCCAAAACTGGGCTAGATCGCAGGGGAGAAGTTCTAAGTCGATTAGGGTTTAATCTCCCTTAAATAGGTGCTAAAAAACTGATTTTCAGAGCTATTTTCCGCGTCGGCGTCCTAGTAGGCATCTTAGACGTTAGGTAGGACGTCTGAGCATCCTTCAGGGCGTTTAACATGCCTTCTGCCGTCCTTGATTTGCACTTGAAAATGGCCTAAAATGGGTGGGCGTCCTAGGGGGCGTCTTAGACGCTATCTAGAACGTCCCTCATCTTTGTCGCTCCTTGTTTGTGATGAAAACTGTAGAATCAGTAAAAATGCAAAACATGAAAGTTGTAGAAAATTTTGTCTAGTTTCCAAAACTTCTTCATTCATGTCAATCGGAGCTCTAGATCTTGAGATATGATGAAAACATTGAAGAGTGGTCAAATTTCTCAGCACAATTTTCTGCATTCCTTTAGCAATTTGTCTCCCACGCTTGTTAACTTCAGTTTGCTCGTTTTTCTTGCGGGTTTTGCCCACTTTAGCACCAAGTATTTACATGCATATAAAGTTCAACAACTCATCAAAGTAGTGTCATTCTTGGACAATTATGCATCAATTCAACATATAACGTACAATTTAGTATATTCATTAAATAGACTTATGAGAGCTCCACAAGCTCGTAACTCCCTGAATGTCATCGTGCACGCCCCCATCATGGCCGCCATATCGGTACAGAATGCACCCAACCTCTCGTCAAGAATCTCCAAAATGCCCTCCTTGACAGTACCAAAGATCACAGGATTTTGGTCCATAATACTGCGAGTAATCTCAGATGACATAAACTCACTCATCTGGACATCGAGCTGCTCGCCTCCAGAGCTCGAGCCTGATCCTTCACTAACACTTGACTACCAACTAGTCTAGTGTGTAGCGTCTCCATACTGAAAATACACCATAACAAACATCAAAATACACTTCATAACTCGAGGGATCACACACACTCCAAGTTCCCTGGTTTCATCTTATCCCTCCTTGACTTGATTATGGATCCTGCTTTTAGTAGTACAGGCCCATAATACCTTCCACATCTATCCATACTTTCCTCAAGAATTTCCTTGACTCCACCAAGTTCCTTTCGCTATTACTGCTTTTCGGGCTAATCTCATCCTAGGCTTGCCCAAGGGTAATCTCTGATCCACTCTCCACCATCAGCTGCATAAGAAGTCCTTTCTATCTCCCCCTAATTAGCTCACGATTACCATTCCATATTACTAACACCAGATAATTTTTTGAATGAAAGGTCTCTCCCTACAACGGTTGGACTCAAACAAGAGTTGCGAAATAAGGAAAAACCTAACCTTCTGAAATTATTTAGTCCTCGTAATATGTAACTTAGTGTATTCATTTACTAGTTAGTTAAATATAACGAGAACTCGTAAAAGCACAAAGCAAGCAACATTCGAGCATTGAGTAAACAAAACCAAACATATCCGATTCAAGCTATCATATCAGTGACTAATCAGTACTAGCTTGCATTTCAATAAGCTTATACAGTAGGCATACAAGGCATCCTTCCTAAATCCTTAGTTCTAATCTAGCATGCAGTTCTCATAATCATATCATATCATATCATAACAAACATGTATGGGTAATTTAGGAGAACTTACTTGAGCTCGGCTAGTTTCATGCTAAACACCCTTTTCTCTTTTCAAAATCCTTTTTATAAAAATGGTTTTCTTTTAAAAAAAATATACCAAGTCCTCAGTTTGAGCTCAGACACACCCGAGAGTGTGCCCGAATCCCTCAAACCAAGGCTCTGATACCAACTTGAAACATCTTAAAATTCATGACCAAAAATTTCATTTTAAATCATTAAATAAAACCAAAGTTATCAAAACATTTCATCGAAACATAAGTCAAATTATCTCAAAACATTATTACCAAAGTTTCCAAATCAAAACATCAGAGTAATCATATGAGGCTAAACATAATGGTGTGTGCACTAAAGTCATCCCGAGCTCTTCCCTTTGCTACCAGAAGTACTTGAAACCAAAACTGAAAACTATAAGCACGAAGCTTAGTGAGTCTCACAAAACTACCACATACCATACACATAATCAAATAACCACATAATAACATATCATGGGCCCCACTCGCTTCATCAGGCCCCGCCCGACATCGAATAGAGTCTGACATTGGGCCCCACCTGACATCGAGAAAAGCTCGGTATAAATAACAACATCTCATCAAATACACAAAAAATATTCACATAACATAAACATATAAACGTTCCTCGGGCCCCGCCCGACATCAGACCAGAATTCGGAAGCATACTAACATTCCTCAGACATTGCCCGACATCGGACCGAAATCCAGAAACATACAAATATAGGCACATGCATGAATCTCGAAGACATCAAGCATACAAACATTCCTTGAGCATCATCCGATATCGGACCGAAATCTAG